TCTGCGGTATGAGTCGGAGGCTCGTGAGTCGATGCGCTGTAATTGTGTATGTACCGAGGTGCGGCGTAAAGTGCGTTGGTAGCAGCCGAGACTCGCAAACGGGTACCAAAGTTGTAGTTATCTGAGCAAACGTGATTTCAGATCACCGATTGCTTTAAGATGTCAAACGAGAGCGCGATAGCGGTATGAGCGAGTTTACGGACAGTGTATTGAACAGTGTTCTGTCAAGTTCAAGTGAGGTCGCCATGTTTCGGACGAGCCTCGGCGAATAGCGAATCACCGAAAGGCCAAGGACCCGCGCTGACCCCTTGATGTCTTTCACTCTCGCGACCCACAAGTTCGCGCCTTCTCCACACTCCACCCTAATCCTTCGTTTTCACCCATGTCAGTCCCAGCCGTCTAGGCATACACTCATTTCCGACGACAATCGCTTCAATATGTTATGACGTTTACATGCTTTGAGATACCCCCAATAGTCTATTCACGTTACACACACGCTACGCGCTTTTGATATATAGTTATGAATGCTCCAGTAATATCACGGAAGCCGCTTCCAGAAGCAGCCCAGGCGCACTTGAAGGCCTCGCCCATTGACACTACTACAATCGGGTCGAAATTGGAAGCACCTTTACCTTCAGATCAACGAACGAAAGATGCCATTAGGGTCACCGCTCCACGTGAGGTGCTCTCACCTGGCGATAAGTCAATTCACAATGGAAGGCGGTATGGCCTCACATGTGGTATCTTTGCTGGTATAAAAACAAGCCCTTTTGCTTCGACACTCTCTCGTCACTACAACAACTTCCTACCAGCACACAAGAGATACTTCAACAACCACATCAACCGTCGTACACTACTCATCATGATCGGGATCACTTTTGTCTCCCTTCTGGCTCTCATCATCGGTCTCGCAGCAGGCTTGGTTATCCCCTCCAAGTGAGTCTTTGTGCTTTGCCTTCTTCCAATAGCCTCAGCTAACAACACCCATAGCAACAATGCCGTGTCTCCAGCCATCGGCCCCCTAGCTCAAGGCCAAATGACGTTCTACAACCCTGGTTTGGGCGCTTGCGGTCATACTCACGGTGACAACGACGCTGTCATGGCTGTTTCTCACGGACGCTGTAAGTATTGATCTTCGTCAACTCATCTACGAGACACACACTTACACCGTGTTTTAATCAGGGGACGAGGTCAAAACTCCCAACCCCAACGACAACCCACTTTGTGGTAAACAGATTCGAGCTCACCGTGTGGACGAGCGCACTGGCAAGGACGCCAGCGTCCTTGTCACCATTGTCGACAAGTGTAAGTACTCCGGATGGCACACTCCGTCTCACGCCACTTCATATTGCTGTTGCTAATGTTTTGCCAGGCATGGGATGTGCTTACGACGACATCGATGTCAGCCCTTCCGCGTTCGACAAGTTGGCTGATAAAGCCAAGGGAAGGGTCAACGTAGAGTGGTCCTGGGCCTGAGCATTGTCACTTGGTTCGCGTCACACAGTCATGACTCAGGGTTGAGTCGACTGTGACACATTACGGCATCTTCTATTACTCACACACTGGTGTGGCATATATATGCTTTCCAATTCTACTGATGATATACTCTTCTTCTACCTTTTGCTTGATACGTGAGCCTGTTTACGTTGACAGTAACTTTCTATCTTTCGACAATCTACATCTTCCTTGACAGCGCAGTGGCATATGCCATACTGTGCGTAAGTATCCATGCCTCTCGCCAGAAAAAGCAGCGAGTCTTCTTCCAGAACTCTGACAGGGGAGCGGAGCCTCAACATAGGCCGCCCTATTTTCAACGAGGGGATTTCCGAATCGACATTCATTGCGCGTACCGAAACACCAGAAAGCGCACACCAGCCAACTAGCTCTGGAAGAGACCTGAGAAGACCCATATCTTCTGACTGTCACCCCTCACGGAACTCCTCGCGGTGCGACGATCCATACATACCAGATACTTTTGAGGGCGAAACCCTGGCGGGGAACCCTGAGAAACCACTCCCCGAAGTCCCTGTCAGTCCTCTCCAGATACATCTACCATTCCAAAGTTCGAAATTTGACCAAAGCCGGGAGACGGACGACGACCTACCACAGTACGACCACTCAATGGGCCCCAGAGGTACAACCTACGCAAGACGATACAGTACTAGAAGCTCATTTTACCCCGAAACCGAGGACAAGGGTTATGAAGGAGGGGTAGGGCACCTTGAGGCGGGCATGAGAATCTTCAATAATATTACTTCGAACCACTACCCCGCTTCATCACAGCCAGTTGCGAAGGAGACGGAGAGTGAAGCTTTTCAAAGGGACTTGGTCGATGTACCTGTCGACTCCTCAACGCCAGAAGAATTTGGAGGATCAAGCGACGTGCCCGAAAAACCTGCCAATGGAGCAATGTCAAAGCGGAAACTCCAGCTTTGTTGGGCAACATTTATCCTGGCAGCTCTTGTCGTAGTTATCGGTGTAATAATAGGATCGCTCAGTTACGTAAAGCATGGCAGCGGGGATAACCAAGACAAAGCGACGATGGAAAGCGAGACGTTCAGTGCTTCGTCAACGCCGCTTCTGACGGAGTCACCAGCCTCTGAGAGAGTCACAAATGCCGCTATACCGTCAGAACCCGTTCCGACGAGTGTCGTGGTTGTTACGTCTTCCATCGAAACGAGCGAGACTCCATCCTCAACGCCTACGCCTACGCCTACGCCTACGCCTACGTCTACGACTACGTCTACGCTTACGCCAACGTCCACTCTCGAGTCCAGCTCAGTACAATCATCGAGTTCCCTCAGCAGCCCGTCCTCACAATCTTCTAACTTCATGCAAAGTACAGCTGTACTAGAAGATCTTGTTGGGAGGAGCGGCTATCTAGACCAACGTGCTGATGGTTCTCTCCGCTACGATTCGCTTCTGGACTTAGACCAAGGTGGGTACCTTGGTCGAAGAGAGGACCTAGAGGACTGTGAAGATGTTACTATAACAATTACTACCACGTTGACGACGACGATCACGAGTACTATTCGAACGTCTAGGATGGTAGCTTCGAGTGCTGGCAGCGATTCAGCTTCGCTGCAGCCGTCGGAGCCCGAACCTGCAGAGACCGGTCCGAAATGCATAACAAATACCATCTTTCATACTGGTGGTCTGCCCGATTCTACAGCTTCCTCGTATGATACCGATATACCCAGCACGGAAGTCTCTTCTGTTGCCGCCGACTCAACGGCTAGTCCAGATACGACACCTTTACCTACCGAAACCTCAGCTACTCTATCTGCAGGTGAAGAGACTGGAGTCATTTTGACATCTTCCGTTGCGCAAGCGGGACGACTAGCAGCACCGAATCTAGGGGAAAGTCTACGATATCTCCGGCGCTTTTTGCCACTGTTTACTGGGGATGTCGAGCAAAATCGGCATTTGCTTCCTTCTCTGACGATCATACCGACTGCGACAACGAAGAATAATGCCGCGGATAACAGCTACAGTGTGAAGGTTCTGAGTATGACCAGCAGCAATGCCGCGGTGCGTCGAGAAGTCCAGCATTGGAATTTCATGGGCAAACCGAATCCCGCAGTACCTTCGAGGATCCTTGAACGCCGTGAAGTGCCCGCCCAACCACCTTCTCCGCCAGGTTTAGAGGTACTGAAAACGTACTGGAAAGCCTCTTGGGAGCTGCGACTACTATTCATGCAATTGTGCTACTCCCTCAAAACAGAAGCACCCCCGACATCTGAGGATCTCAAGATGGGCGAAACGCTTAATACGACCATATGCGATAGCTTCGAGCAGGATTTCCCAGCAATAAGCGAAGGGGCAAAATGCGACTACAAGGACTATTTCCATAGGATACTGGACAAGACTACGGCAATGTGTGCCTTGGCCAAGGAAGGCGAGAAGTATGTTCAAAGTGTGAACTTGCTTTGCAACGTCAAAAACAGCATGGAAGGGAGTATTGAACAATGCGACGGCGATGACGAAGAAATGCCTAGTCAAGGCGGTGGAGGCGGAAGTAGTTTGTTGCCAGCAACCAGCAGACCGCCAATAGTAGATTCGACTGCTGAGTCGCCGACTGACATTGGCATGACTGGATCCGAATCGTCGTCCATCTTGCTCCAGGCCAATGCTGTCACGAACGTAGATTCGATCTCGGGCTTCGCAACTCCTTCAAACATACCAATTAGTAACGCCCCTCTAACGCTGTCCCCAAGTACAGGGACTGGCATCCTTGGCACCACAACAATCATGAGCGCAACGCAAACCCCGCTGTCATCCAACACGATGCCTCAATCTCAGCCGAATTCTTGCCCAGCTGACATTCCAACAATCTCTTACCCTTTCAAAGCAGCTTGGAGCACCCCAATCATAACCTCCTTCCCAGACCCACCGACTATATCCACCTGGGGTCCTGTTTCTGCACGCCTAACAGGTCATAGTCTTGGTCTCTCGGTACCAATCCCATGTGGTTACACATCGAGCTTCGTAGACGATTCCACCGTTCCCAATATCGTGGTACCAAAGACATCGCAGATAGGCGAGATCTCATTCTACAACGGAGACGATGCATACAAAAAGCCGCCAACGTGCCAGAATGGGATGATAATGCATGGTGAGGCCATAGCGGCTATTGGTTGGCAACTGTATGACTGGGGCAGAGGAGGGAGCCTAGAGCAAAAGGAGAATGCGTTGTGTGGAAGAAAGATTATTGCTTCGTGTGCAGGGAATGGGGAGGTTGGATTTGACAGGAAAGAAGTCGAACTTTGGGTTAGAGATCGGTGTGCGGCCTGTAGGCCGATGGACCTGGATGTCCTGGACGACGTGTTCAAATTTTGTGCTCATAAGGATGTTGGAAGAGCGGCTGTTACTTGGAGGTGGGCTGAAGACGGTGAAAGCGTGAGCCCAACAGCTGGCTGATGGTAATTGTCGGTTCTGTGTATCGTGGTGTTTGGTATCATTCTGTAGCTCATTATATGGTCCCATTGACTTGTAATTCGCTATGCAGTACTCCAGTGTCTTGAGATGAGGTCCGCTGGCAGAACACCGCCGTTCTTCTTCATTGCATATACCTTCAATGGCCCGCCTTTCTCATCGTAGACTAGCACGGCTGCGCGCTCCTTCGTACCTGCGACGACCTCCTTTATTTCTGCCAGCAAACTCACCATCTTGCGCAGCCTGTCTTGATTGGCTTCCTCCCATCGGGGGTACTCCTTTTCAGCATGACTGATACTCACCGAGTGCACCGTACCCTTGTCATGGTTGCCGTTCATAAAGTAGGGCGTACGGCCGAACCAAAGCTGCGGTAGTGCTTCTGTAAGACGTGCGGCCTTCTTGGCTTTGATCTCCGCGAGCTTGGACGGGTCGATGAATGTTCCCTTTTCAACGACTACGGTAGGCTTATCGGCGGGAGTCTTTCGAGGTTTAGTTTGAGTTGGTGGCAGGCCTGCAATATTAAGTTGTGCCATAGCAGCGCTCACGGTGCTAACGGGCTCATCCCTAGGCTGTTTAGACTTCGAGTCCAGGACGACACCCGGGTCATCGTAATACGCATCGACTTCAAAACGGACAACGCAGTTCAAAGGGCCGATATGGTACCGAATGACCCTGTGATGACTGCTAGAGTTCCCCATTCCATGATCAGGCATCGTGAAGGTCTTCTCGAAGTTATGTCCGTAGCCCGCGTTCGGTGCACCATGGATCATTTGTTGAGCGTTCCGTTCTTTACGGCTAATAACGAGCGTATTGCCGACCATGTGTAAGCCCATGCAGAAAATGTCCAGTTTCCTCCCAGCCGAAAAATCGAGTAGCTTGCGAAGACTGTTGCGGTTGGCGATGATGTCGACTTGATCTAGCACGACGTCGGGTCCCATCACAGCAAGGGCAGCAAAGGCTGGCTAGAAAGGATACTTGGGTACGCGAGATGCGTTCTGATCGACGAAGTGTCTCCCGGAGTCCTGAGCAAGAGTGGTCGGCAGTGGTGGAGGATTCCATCTCGGGGGTGCACCAGGAACATGGATGGATCCATCATACTGCCAGTTGTAGCTACACAAAGTCTCGAAGCCACGCGCAGACGAGACCTTAGTGGTGTCTGGCTCCAGTGTTGCTGCTTCTATCGTGCGTACGGGCAACCCGGTGGTCTCCCGGAACATCCATGACGTTTTCCAAGAAGGCGCCTGGTGTAGAAGCTGTGCCCGGGGTTGTCCTGCTTTCGCAGATTGAGGCCTCAATCCCTTTGATGGGACTGCGTCTCCTTGAGCTAATATCGAAAGCTTCCCTTTAACGGGTACCTTCACTGTTGCAACTTCTGCTGACGCCAAAGAAGTTGTTACGGGCGGAGATGCTTTCGCTCCATTTCGCCTAGCACGCTCTCTATGTGTGGAGTCAGACTTGAGTGGAAATTGGGGCAAGATGGGCCTACTCACAGTTTTGCAGGACGCGCATTTCGTGCTTTCGGCCGTATAGCATCGTCTTCTTTGGTTACTGCAGTCCCGGCCGTTGTAGGGGGATCGCCGTCATCAAATGCCTCATGGGCTTGTAGCGCATTCGATGCTACTGAACTCTCGAATTCCACTGTTGCTGAATCCTGATTCTTGTGCTGGCTGCGCTTCTGTTAGTTGTCTGTACACTCGTACAGACCAGTGTCAGCGCAATACTTACCGCCTTCTACCACGTTGGCGTTTCTTGATCGGAGCGACCTTTTGACCTGACTTCTGCTCCCCAGTGGCTACTGGGATTCCACCGCCGTCAAGAGCACCTGGTCCCGTAGCGGGAGGCTGAGCCACGGATTGCGACATGTTTAGTGGAGTTGTTGGCTTGTTAAGAGTTCATATGCCAGCGTGACAGAAGTAGCATGCGTCGAGTAGCAACCGTAAGGCAGAACCCGTGTAGCGGGGTAGCTGTTGCGCGCATCAGGATATGCTTGTACAGCCTAAGTTTGAGACTGCCAAGTCTGTGCGCCGTCAGAGTCTGCTGGATTGGCTGAGTGAAGGTGAAGAGAAGTGCGCAGCCTTGGATGCCTATGCATTGGAGAAAGCATCATCGATAATACGCAGGATGAAGCGTGTCCGATATGCCTATCATCCGACCAGTCGACCCTTTACATATGGCAGAGATGTTACTGGAGGCGATGAAGCTGGTGTCGAACAATCTGGGGGGGGGGGGGGGGGGTTTGTGGGGGGGGGGGGGG